CCTTCCCTTTCTTCCTTCTTTTCTTCTTCGTTTTCCTCCTCCTCCTTCCTTTCCCACTCTGTCTTCTTCATTTTTTGTTGGTTTTGGAACTAAGGTCTTAAGGAAAAAGCATCACAATGGGAATTATCATTACTGTGCACCTATATGCTAGGCACTGTCTAATTAATTTTTAGTGACCTAGCGGAAGTTGCTGTAGTATTGAAGCCATGGCATATGTAAAAAGCCTACTTCTTGGTACATACTAGGTCCTCAGTTATTTTTAAAATAAGATTAGAGCTGGCTGGCGTGGCTCAGTGGTTGAACATTGAGCTATGAACCTGGAGGTCATGGTTCGATTCCTGGTCAGGGCACATGCCCCGTGGGAGTCATGTGGGAGGCAGCCGATCGGTGACCTTCTCTCATCATTGGTGTTCCTATATTTCTCTCCCTCTCCCTTACTGAACTCTCTGAAATCAATAAAAACATATAAAAAATTTAACAAAATTAGAAAAGTAATTCTTTATTCTGGGAGAGTATTTTAAGATAGAATATTCATAAATATTTAATTTTAAGATCTAAATAATGGAGGGTGGGGGTGTCCTGATCACCTTTGGCTGCTGTTGCCTCTAGGAGCCCAGATCCTGCCCCAAGAGTGCAGAAAATGGGGCTCCCCCACATAAGGAACCCCTGGGGCATCAGCCAGAGATCCATGGGAGCTTGCAACCACTGACAGGCAATAAGCAGGATCCCTCCTTACTGTCCAAGGCACCTTTGTACCTGGCCCTGGAGCTTTGAGGGTTTGTGGTACCAGTTAGGACTTTTTCTCACACCTGGTAAAACAGGGCCTTCCAAGTTGGACAGTCAGCCACAGAAATGGAAGAACTAAGGGGGATCAGAGGTACAGGTACAGTCCTGACTTGTTAAAAGAAAAAAAAAAGGGGGGGGAAGCCCTTGAACAACTGGGGAAGATATGAGAAGAACAAATGTTTAATTTGTTACTGTTGCGAATCAGGAATTTGAGTCGAGGATTCTGTTTTTTCATTTCTTAAAACAATTGAGTCCTCTTGGGAGTGTCAGAAAATAACTTCAATGTTTCCTAATCGAGGTGTAGAGTCCTCTCACTGGAGAAATAACTGTGAAAAGATAAACTACAGAGCAGAGGTCATGGACTGGCCAGCCAATGAGGCTTGCAGAAATGTTTATTCACATTTTGAAGTGCTTTTAAATTGTCTTAATTAATTGTCTTTAACATCTGAAAACCAAATTCACATAAAGACCCAGATTTCTGGCCTCTCTGGAATAATGGGAGTATCAGGCCACATAAGCCCTCTTTCCCTCATTGCAGCTGGAGCTGAGGAGCAGCACCCGTTTAGATGGAACATGTCCCTCAGTTTCTGCTCAATATTCTTTGCTCACTGAGACCATCTTGCTGTTCATGTGGTCATTGAGTTGTGACCTCTGCTGTAGAATTTACTGCTTATTTTTGCTTTGGTGTGAGATGGAAGTGATAGCCATTTTTTAAATGTCAAAAATATAGTCTTAGCCGGTTTGCTCAGTGGTTAGAGCGTCGGCTCGAGGACTGAAGGATCCCGGGTTCGATTTTGGCCAAGGGCATGTATCTCGGTTGCAGGCTCAATCCCTGGCCCCAGTGGTCAGGGTGCAACCAATTGAGGTGTCTCTCTCACATCGATGTTTCTTTCTCTCTCTTCCTCTCTCTCTCTTCTCCTTCCACTCTTTCTGAAAAGCAATGGAAAAAATATCTTCAGGTGAAGATTGGGAAAAAAAAATACAGTAGTACATCAACCCCCCCAAAATGTATTTGACTCATTTCTCTACATATTTGACAAGAACCTTTATTATACACTTCAGGAAAGCAGAGAGAGAGCTGGCTAAAATACAGAAATTTGTTTTATTGTATAGAAGTCACTCTCGTAAAGGATATCAGGCATATCTTTAATCTCAAAAAGTTGATGATTTTTAGTAGTCTTTGTGATTTTGATCTTAAGTAAAATAAGAAATGGAAGTTTTAAATAAAATCATTTTATATTGAGCATAATTTTAAGTGAGTGACTTAAAAACACATCTATTAAAAGTTTGATTAAGTCAGCAAAAGGTTTTATTAAAACTACTTTGAAAAAAATGCATAATTTAATTTCTGATCTTCATTCCTATGTATACATAGTTTTTACAAAAATGACACTGCAATAAGCAGCTTTGAACATGTTCCTTTCTTATTTTAAATTATTTCCCTAAGATAAGTTTCTACAGCAGGTTACTGGATCAAAGGGAATAAGAGCATTTTTATGATTCTTGGTTTGTTTTGCTAAATTATTCTAGAAAAAGATGTAACTGATTTACAATATCTCTAGTAAGATATGAGGGCACCTATTTTTTTCTTCCCCAAACTCTCCCAGAATGGGTTTTTATAATTAACAGTTTTCACACAAATAAAAATTAATTAAATTTTAGATGTTTGTATCATCAGGTAGCTATTGTTGTATAACAAACTATTCCAAACTCAGTGGTTTAAGCAACAACCTCTATTAGTTCTCACAAGTGTGTAGGTTGGCAGAACTGTTCTGCTGATCTGTGAGGGCTCCACCTGATCTTGGCTGGGCTTGCTCATGTGCCACTGGTGAGTTGGTAGGTTGGCTGGGGGCTGGCTGGTCTATGACAGCCACCTGTCACAGTGGGCTCTCAACCTCCAACAGGCTAGCTCAGGTTTGTCCTCATGGCATGGTAGGGCTCCAGGAGAGTAAGGGCTACTTGACACATAAGCCTAGGTCTGATACTCGCTCACTTCTGCTACATTCTATTGGCAAAAAAACTCAAACCACCCCAGACCAAAATAAAACAAAAACAACCAGCTCACATTCAAGGGCAGGGAAAAAATAGGCTATTTCTTGATAGCCATAATTCAAAGTTAATTACAAAGGCTGTAGATACAGGGGTGGGTGGAAAATCAGGATCATTTTTGCAACCGTTATACCAGAACATTCAAATGAATGTTGATGAATGTTGACCTTCAAGTTGTCATCTTTCAATGCTCTGTACCCATTCCAACAGTGTACCCACTTATTAAAAAATATAGTTAGAGCCCTTCTTGGAATCTCCTTCTAAGGAGGGGGGTTATAAGCCAATTAAATTCATTCTTTTAGTCATCCATTTTATTCAATGTTCTTGCTTCTAGATAATTTTTGATGATTTCTAAATATCAAATCCATGATAAAAGAATTTTGAGCCCTGGCCCGTGGTGCTCAGTGGTTAGAGCATTGGCCCATGCACAGAAGAGTCGTGGGTTTGATTCCCGTTCAAGGGCACGTCGTACCTGGGTTGCAGGTTTGGTCCCCGGTCCAGGTGCATACGGGAGGCAACCAATCGATGTGTCTCTCTCACATCAATGTTTCTCTCTCTCTCTTTCTCCCCACCCCTCCCTACCTTCCACTCTCTAAAAATCAATGGAAAAAAAATATCCTCAGATGTGGATTAACAAAAAAACCAAAAAAACAAAAGAAGAAGAAGAAGAGGAGGAGGAGGAGGAGGAGGAGGAGGAGGAGGAAGACTTTTGATCCTGACCTCCATCAAGGTTATTTTTTAAAAATGTAACTTGGACTTTGAAAGCAATTCAAGAGAAGCATTCTAAAATGTTTAAAACAAAGGCAGTATCACTGGAAAAAATGGAGAGCATGACAAACCTGATTACTTTGAAGTGGTTCACTATTTTGGGTGTACTTTTACTGGATTATTTTTTAAAACATTGCTTTAAAGTAGGTCATATAAATACCTATTGACTATAGATAAATGTTGGGGTTTAGTGTATAATTGAATTTCAAATGAATTTTTCTCCTAAAGGAGCTTAGTGTTGACTCTCATGCTGCAAATTGCACCAAACTTACTGAATTTTTTTCTCCATTTTGCTGTTTTTGGAGGAGAACATGTTTATGCTCATATCTCTCAGTTTAGTGTCACTATCATAAGGATTTCTAGAACCTACTATTTTAGATACTGCTTTTGGTGGCCTTTTAAAAAACCAGTTTGTGCAAACTTTGTCTCCTGAGTTGACTTGGATTGTCCTTCAAGGACAGTTATTAAAGGAATATGTACCTATAATGTTAACCAAGATTTAGTACTAAATTTTGTATGGGAATTTTCATCATCTGCCTATATATGTTTGGGCCTAAATGTCCTCAAAGTTGACATTAATGAGAAAATCAGGTGATGTAGATTCTGAATACATTTACTTTTAGAAAAAAAGCTTTTTAATTGGGAAATGCTACTTCAAATTAGCAAATAGAAGTAGAAATCCCTAATTCTCAGTATTAGTGATATTCACTTTGAGACAGCTTAAAAGAGTTTGTTAATATGAAATGCCTGCCAGCAGTCATATTTTGGGGGTTTTCTAGTCCCAAAGTAGAGGATGAATTCACTTTGTCACTTATTAGAAGAAGTTTTCTCTTCTTCACTTGAACTTAGAGTTCAATTTAGTTAAAGTCAATAGACTGGAGGAATAACAATTGATATGTGCATGTAAGACGTAGAAACCAACATTAGAACGATTAGCTGGATGCATGCTCATGAATGTGCTACGTGTATTTTACCCTTGCCATTTCTATGCCACCTCAAGCAGGTTTTTACGGGACTTTACATTTGAGATCAATTATACAACAGATTGGAGCTTTGGAATCTTAGGGTCTCAATATATGGGCAACTTGTTTAATTTTCCTGAATTCATCTGAATTTCCCCATCAGTAAAAAGGGTATGAAAATACCTACTCACAGATTGCTTCATGAATCAAATGAGATAAAAGAGTATGAACAATAGCTGTAGCTTATGTTTACTGAGAACTTCCTGCATGCGAAGCACTATTCTAAAGATTTCACATGTATTCTCCCATTTCATCGTCCTTGAGATCCTATTATTTCTATTTTATTGTTAAGGAAACAGACAGTATATGGAAACTTTTTGAAACCTCTATAGCACATTAAACAAATGTAAGCTATTGTCTTAAGTCTCCCAATACTGTACTTTCTCCTCTCAGTTTGACCTAAGTCCAGCAAATGCTAGCACCATTCAAAGTCCAAATTTGTGTTTTGCTCTGTTTGAAAATGTTTCCTTTCACCATCCAAGGTTGCCTAAGGAAACAATGACAGTGACGGTGGTGTATGATAACTCTGAGGTAACAGAGCTCTCTGCAACTCAGCACCTTTACCTCAAGCCCATAGCAAAATTGATGATCAATGTATTGCTCCCAGAGAGTATAGAACCTATGAGGCCTTTCTCCAACTGGGAAGTTCTTAACCAGCTGAAGAGCCTGATTTGCCCTGATCACTTCACCACAGTTTGACTCTCCAAGAGTACGAAGGACTTCATCCAGTTCGAGGGGGAGGCTGAAACGCAAAGTTTGGTTCAGATCCTAAAGGCAAAATTACATGGGAAGATCATCAAACTAAATGGGTTGAAAACAGACTTAAAAGTAATTACTGCAGATGCTCAGGGAGAGTGGGAGCACTTCCCCAAGGAACAGGAGGCCTCATCTAGTCACCGGGCTCATGAGTTGGACCACAATCAGAGCCTGGATTCCATACATTTCGAAGGCTTGCCCTGCAAGTGGTTTGCACCTAAAGGTTCCAGTGGGGAGAAGACATGTGAAGAGACCCTTTGGGTGGTCTTTGAAAGTTTTGGGAAGATCAAGAATGTGGATATCCCTATGCTTGACCCCTACAGAGAGGTAATGACTGATGAAAGCTCTGGGGGTTTTAGCTTCGGCTTGCAGACATTTGAGGCCTTTATACAGTACCAGGAGTCAACTGAGTTCAGAAAAGCCATGGAGTCCCTTCGAGGGATGAAGCTGATGCTTAAAGGGGATGATGGGAAAGCTCTGGCATGTAAAATTAAGGTAAGAAGTAGCCAGAGTTTCTTTTATTTCCCACTGTTCAGGTGGTCCTAAGTAAAAGCTGGAAGGAGGTATCTAGAATAAATTTCCTTAGAGCCCAATGGGCTCTGATCAATAGCTCATGTAAAGATTTGTGTTGTCATTAATAAATGGATGTCTAGGAAGAAAAAGAATCCTGATTTGAACATTTTTTTTTGCTATCAGGCATGCTGCCAGCTGGGGTTTTAAAGTGATTTTTATAATCTGGGGCTCTGCCCTAACTTCTTGAAGGCATTTAAGGATCTTTCACGGCTCTTTTGGAAGTATCTCATGTGCTTATTCTACTTAACAATCTGCTGAGAGAGAGGAATACATGCTGTTTGAAATCACAAGGAGAACAGTCTACTCTCTATTATTGGGATCATGACTTATGTTTTCAAGATGTCTGTCAGATAAATTGCTAAAACCTGATCCCAACAAACCTGGATTCTTTCCTTTCTAACTGAACTCAGCCTGTCTGTCCGGTCATGTCACCTCATTGATGTCTGACTGCTTAGTCATCTCCTTCTTGAAATCTTTTTTTAAAATTTATCTTTATTGTTGAAAGTATTACAAATGTTCCCCTTTTTCTCCCCATTGATCCCCTCCTCTCCACACTCACTCCCCCCAAGCCTTCTCCATACTATTGTCTGTGTTCATGGGTTATGCATATATACATATAAGATCCTTGATTAATCTCTCCCCACCCATCCACCCACTCCCGCCTTACAGCCGAGGAAACGATGTTGGTAAACCCTCCTTTTTCTCTAAATTAATCTTTAGCATGAATTTGGACTTTTAGCTTAAGTAGCTTCCTATGTATGAATGTGTGTATGTATGTGTGTTATGTGTGAAGATACTTACATTAAAATGTACATTTTAAAATTATGAGCTATTCAGTCAGACAAAATATATAGCAAGTACTATAATGACCACCCATATACCACTGCCCAGCTGCCCAGCTTGTGCCTGTCAGAGTCTGCCTGTAATGGCATTGTGATATCTCCTGTGACAGCTAGTGAGCTCCTCAAGGTTCTGCCAAAGAAAATTCTGGAGCCCACAGGACTGCTTGGAAAGTTCAACAGAAGCAGTAGAACAGTTTAGGTACTGGAATATAGAGAGAACATTTCTAATTCATTTGGTTTTGAATTGCTCATGCCAAAATTAGGTTTATTTCTGTGGCCTGAGACACACTGACCAACTTGTATAATGAAACTTTGAAATATTTGGGGGCAGGTTATGTTTGATACAACCAAATACATCAGCAAAGGAGCTGTAAGGAGGAGAAATCAAGAAAGGCTAAAATTACAAGAGCTGGAGGAAGAAAGAGAAAAAAAAGAAGAGAGAAGAGAAAGAGGCTGAAAGGTAAGGAGACCAACTTTAATTAACAAAGAGAGTTTTTTACTTTTGGTTTATGAATTTAACTCTTTGACTGAATGGCTAGACTTGATAGATTTCATTGAGGTGAGGAGTGGGGAGGAATTGGTTCAGAATGGAGAACTCCATGGAAGCCTGCAGTCTTTCAGCTGTGCCTTACAAAGCCAAAATGATAAAAACAGTTGAAAAGAAGAGACTTTAAAAGAAAATATCCTTGTTAGGGAGAACAAGTAACGAGAAATAATGGGGCTAGCCTGATTAAGCTACAGTGATTTTTTAAAAAACCACCAGGAACTTTCATAGTGAAAATTCTAGCCTACCAAATTTTCAAAAAGGTGCCAATTTACCTAAAATTTACCAACTTTTACCTAGCTTGCCAATCTAAAGTGTTGTGTGGGTTGTTTTTTTATTCTGTTGTGTGTTTTTTTTTAAAAAAACAACAACACAACAACAGAAAAAAAGAAGAAAAAACCTCTTTTTAGGTCTAGAAAAGGCTTTCTTCCATAAGATGGTCAATATTCAAACTAACCCATAGGCAAGAAGGCATGGATTGATTTGTTGGACTATATTTCTTGTTGGCTTAAGTTCTTTCTGTGAACCTTTATTTCTTTGAGCTTATCATTATTTCCCAGTTCAGGAGCTTGAGACTAGAAAGTGCTATTGGATTGTCAAAGGTTTTCCAAGAAGGTACAATAGGCCAGAATTTCTGGGCTCTGAAAACCAGTTTTACCTCCTAACCTTTCTTCTTACATATTTATTCTTTCAGTGTTTCATGTAAATTACAGCCATTCGAGAAGGGAGGTAAGGAGATAACCAGTATCTTTCCTTGTGCCTCTCACTTTTTTGGCTGTCGAGGTGATAGGAGTAATTTGAGGTCACATCTGTGAAACTTGTCCAGAAGTTGTAACTATTCCCCCCAAATTTCTAGACTGAACATGCAGTTTAGATAATCCTCAAGTTTTTGACTAGGTCCTCACTCAGATAATTGTCTTTTTTTTGGGGGAGGGGGGCTTTCCCCATGTTTCCATAAGGGCCTAATCAAAACAGTTTATATTTTCAGAAAACAGCAGTATAAAAAGGGCCCATATTCTCCTAAGCCATTATGTTTTTTATGTTAGTGTACTGTGTTGTAATATGTACGAAGAACCAGCTCTCACCCTTAAGGTTTTCTGAGTGCTTTGACTTATTTTTATTTGCCTATGTGAAACCAGTTCATGGAACGTTTTGATCTTAAGAAAAACAAAATCATCACTGTGAAAGCTGGTTCAGTAGTCTCTGCTTGTGGTTTGAGAAAGTGGAGGCTAGAGGCCCCTCTTTTGAATTCTGTAGTCTTTTTTTCAGTATTCTCTGTGTAAAGTCTCCTGTACATGCTTCTAATTGATCAACTCAATTATGCATCTTTCCCCTTTGATGGATGTGGCACAGTGTCTTTTATCTTCAGTTGTCTCTATCAGGCCCTGGGGTTAGCAGTGAGAAATTCATGGAAACCTAAATGATCTGTTGTTTGTCCATGTTGCCCCCCCCCTCCCCACCCTCAGTGGGGAAGGAGTGGGGAAGAGAGCAAATGCCAAATAAATACCTTCTGAATGGTTGACCTTTAATCATTGTTGTCTAGAAAAAGAAAGGAGGAGGAGAGGAAAGCCCAGGAAAAGAGGAAGAAGGCCAGGGTCAGGAGGTGAGCCCTGAAGGAAAGGGACAGACACCAGCAAAGGAAGCAGGACAGAGCCAAAGCTGAGGTGCCTCAGGAGCCCAGCTCTTCGGAGGAGTGGGAGGAGCGGAAGTTCCTACTGGCTCAGAGGCGAGTGGAGGGCAGTTGGTTGCTACTGGTGCTCCTGAAGAAAACTGCTGTAAGGCTCTTTCCCATTTGTTCCTTGTTTAGTTTTGGTAGGTACTGACCTTTCTGAGATACAGCCCTTCCAGTTAAGCAGTCACCTATTTAACACCTATTCCATGGAAGACCCATTGTATTCATTGCGGTTTATTTTCAATAGGCTGATCTCTAATAACCCCAATTGTGGGTTTACAAAAGGTATACCTAAATTCTCTCAAGGAGTTGTGTCTTACCCTTGCCATCTGTCACACACACTTTGTGTTGCTAAAGTTCAGGATGGTTTTACCCAGGGCAGTATAGCTAGTGTATCTACTTTTCTAGGTTCCTAATGGATGTAATAGAAAATGCCAGGGGGAAGAAATGGATGGTGTGGGTGTTAGTTTTGTAGTCGTCCATTAACTTTACTTGTCCGTTTATCTGCAACAGGTTTGAATGAGAAGGGAGAGCCTTGAACAGATAGCTTTATATAGCAAGCTTATGTTAAAGTATTTGCTAAGGAATTTCTCACATTGCAGAGCAATTGTTTTGTTTGTCAAGTTTCAATTTTGGAAGTTCTTTTTTCCTCCACTTACTGACCTCTTAAAGATAACCAGACTCAGTAGATGTCTCAGAGTAAAGGCCAGAAAACGCTCCCAAACTGTTAGTTTAAAAATCCATATTCAGTGGGGTTTTTTTTAATACTGTATAAAGAGTAAGTGGCATTAGTAGGTAGAGTTGATTTAATGTATATTTGTAATCTCAATCTTCTTATTATTGTGACCAATCAGGATCAGAAAAATAGTGCATTTCCATTTACAGTAAGGCTAGCTGGATCTTTTTTAGTTTACCTTAATGACCACGGAGGGTGACTACTTTTGAAGAAATTCTCTTTAACTGTGATTGATTACTAATTCTTGGCCCCATTATTACCTTATATTGATTACACAGTGCCCACATTCTAATCCCAGGTAATGAGTAAGCACTGGGCCGTGATATGCACCAGGTGCCAGTGGAAGTAAGGTGCAAACTCTCCCAGCAGGGTGGGACTGTTTTGGGCAGCACCTTTCACCTGCCCTGCGGTTGTGCAGAGCAGATGGCATCACAGATAGAACCATTGTCATGGCCATATTTTCTACTTGTGGGTTGCTTCTGACTGAGGGCGGGCAGAGATACCCTCGCTTGCAATCCATAGGAAGAAGCCGGAATGAAAAACAGAAAGACAGGTTATCTTTTAAGCCAGTTGACTCTCTTGCAGACACACTTCACCCACCAGTCTTTTCTTGTTCTAGGATTTTCTGGGAGGGCTGTAGGCATTTCTTATTCCTCTTCATATCCCCAGGTTGTGAACAGATAAAAAAAAAAGGGTCATGTGCTTTGAAGGTATATAAATTGTGGTGCCTTGTAACACAAGGATGGGCACAGACATAGTAAAAGCAGCTCATGTTAGGCTGAGACATTTCATTTTATACCTCCTGTTTCCTAGTGTAATATTGTTCCTATTTGGGATCTCTCTTAGGTGGTATTAGAAACCTGATACAACAATGTCAGAAATCCCAATTTTCTTTGAAATTTTTAATCTGTTTAGTTTTTTATGTCATATTTTTCACCTTTTTCTTTGAAGGAATACACACAGTTTAAACCACAAGAAGTAGAAGTCACCGGCTCTGAAGCTAATCACGGTCTGGAGAACACACTGGAAACCCTGAAGAAAAGTTAAATACTCAGGATCTTCAAAATCAGGAGGAAATGCCAAGATATCAGGTTGCCAGTTTAGATAGTAAACGAAAACAAAATATGAAGGAAAGAACTAGGGCTCAGTTACATGAATCTTCTCCCTACCATTGTAGTAAAAAAGGAAGCTATTCAGTCAGAAAAGGGGGAACTGGAAAATTATTAACCAATGGATACAATGGCATTTTTGACTCTGACCAGAATTCCTTGGAAATTGTATTAATTCGAGGTCAGCCTCCTGAGAAGGAAAACCACCTCAGTTCTAATAAGTCCTATCCTTCCAGATTATCTGAGAGAGACCATGGCAAGAGAAACTATGAAATATGTGACCTTATTGACTTTCTATTAAACCATTATTATCACATTCCAAAACATCCTTCTCTCTGCCTAGAGCCAAGTCACCCAACAAGTACATGTCAGTGGCAGAGGTCTGTCCATGCTAAGGGAAATGGATTTCAAATCAATTTGAGAAAGTGCAAATATGAGGCAACCAGGTTGAGCCAAATGCAAAACCTGCAAAGAAGAGAACAGGTTCAAGAAGATGCTTACTGGGCAAAGAGTCATACTCGGGATCCTGTGCAAAAACCACAAAATAGAGCCAGTGGAGCTGATGATCAGCTGACCCCAATTGATGGAAAGGACTGTCTGTTGGAAAAGACCCATGCTTACCAGGTCAAAGATTCCAAATCCAGAAGTCAAAGCCAATTTTCCTCATATAAAAGGTCAGTAGAGTTGGAGTTGAAAGATTTTTTTGAGGATATTAGTAGTGATTCTGAATGCTTCAGTGAAACCCTTACTGTAAACAAAGAAGAGAAAGAGAAATCTGTGACCACATATGAAAGTGCACCAGAAAGAAGATCTCTTAGTGCTGATAGAGTCATCACTTACAATCAAGAAATTAGATCAAGTCAGCCGACCTTATATTCAAAGTGGAAACATTTTGGGGAGGAGAAACACTCTAACTACCAGCTTAGGAAACCAGGCAACAGGCTCAAGTATGAACAGAGATGTTCATGGCCTGAGGGTGAAAACAATTCCATGAGAGCTGAGAATAGCAACAGCATAAAGGAGAAAAGGCTAGCCCCCAAATACTTGTTTGATCAGGGCAACTACTATAAGTCCAGTTCCAGTGACCTATTAGACAATATCACAAGAAAGAGGAGGAGGTTTAGTAATAATACATTTTACCAGAAAGTGAACTACAGGCCCTTTCATGTTCCAGCAACATCATTAAAATGTCCTAATACTTTCTACTGGAGGTGTTTTCCCCAAAGAAGACAGACTTGGTGGAAGTCAGAACATAACCAGGATGCAAAAAGGTTCAGAAGATACGAGAATTCTACAGATTTCAGGCTGACTTCTGGTAATTATCACATTAGACCTAACAGTCAGGAGCACACTGACTACAGAAGCTATTTAGGAAACAACACTAGTTCTTTATATTTTTAAATGTTTTGAAGGTCTCTTAGATCAGGAACACCCTTATTCACGATAAACAATTTGCAAGAAGAATATTTGAAACAAAATATAGTTATGTAGTTAGCAACAACAAGAGCAAGAGAGCAACATTTAAAAGCTTGTGCAAGGTCAAATGCAAAACCTTGTTTCTCTTGCCAAACTATAAAACATAGGTCAAAATCACTGCAGGTGTGTTGGCAGGCTTTGGCAATACAAAACATCCAGTTTCTGAATGGTAAAACAATGCGCTTGCAAAACTTCCTGATCTAAGAGCAGACATTTCTATAGTTCAACTACAACTTTAATTTGGTGCCAGTGAAAGAGCAAATTAACATGGGGAGGTATTGAGATAGTCTCCTTGGCCCTTTAGCTATCATAAGGTCATCATTTAGTATCATTTATCTTCAAAGAGGACAATGGCAGATAAGGATCTTTTCATATGTTCTTTGATTTGGTCAGAACACCTTGTACAGCAAAGTTTCCTCACTTTCACCTAGAAACAACTATAGATAAAAGAAATGAGACAACAGCTAGAACATAAGACTTCTTCATGACATTAGAGAGTTTCATGAGCACCCATCAGAAGGAAATTAATCTTATTATATGTTCATAGTACTCAAAGAGTTTTCCTTTTAGAAACAAAGTGCTGGAAGAAGAATCTAAAAGGGACTCAGATTGTCCTTTGAGTCTTAAAGGGACAGTGGACCATTAGCAGAGTTGTTTTTGAAGAATGCCATGTTATTCAAGCCTAGAAAAGCAACAGGATTTAAATGATACAACCAGTGAGACTTGCAAAAGGAAATATTGAAAGATCCTTGGGCACCAATAATGACACTTGGGAAAAGAAGACATGACGGTATTCCATTTCAGGTTATGTAATCCTTTCACTCAGGGTTAGGTGACAATTTTGTAAAAAGTTACGGACTATCCCCAAAATGACTTTTTAAAAACAATAAGTGCCCCCTCAATCCTCAATAATGCCATGGAGTTAGGAAGAGTCAAGGGCAATGCCCATAGTTTTGTAGCTGGGGAAAGCTGTATGTGTGGAGAATTTGTAGACTCTTAACATATGCAATTTATCTTTACCTACTGGTTTTGGACTTCTTGAATGTTTTTAAATTGAGATATTTTAAAGATTCGTAAAGACTTACATCTTAATGCAGTGAATGTTTAGAAAGCTTGACTGATTCATTCTGCCTTATATTGGATTTAGAACCTCAGGGGCAATAAATGACCTTTTATTCCCAACAAAACTATACCTGACTTGGCAACTAAAAACATCAATGGGATCAGACTACCAGCAGCATGGAACAGTGATTTTAATCTACAGAAGTATTGGCAGGCAACATTTTCATATCACATGATTCATTTCCAATAGTTCTAACTTGATAGAACAATACCAGCTGGTAAAGCCAAAGTAGGATGCCATTCAGTGTGGTTGCCCAGAATGACAAGGCATGTGTGCTCAGAATCAGCCCCTTGAGCAGCCTGATATCTGAAAGAGCTAGAAAATCCTCTAATATATCTAAAGTGAGAGCCATTTATTGTTTCATTGATGTTTTCTAATTACATTTAATAAAGGTATGCTAGTACATGCAAAAGTTCAGAAATGAATGTAGCAAAGCAGATTGTTTACTATTAAGATAATAATCAACAAATTATTTGTTGGCTCTCTTCAATTCCACTTTTAAGCCAGTGACTCTACCATCAAAACTAGGTTTGGCTTGTCAAATCTGAAAAATTGCTCATGGGGCAAATGCCTTTTCTCTTCTGAAGACTGGCAAAGTACTGTTGTCCAAGCAGCTGTTTAAACTATTAACAGCTTGTATTTTTTCAGATAACTTTCTGCAACTAGGTATTATTCTCCTCCAATGAGACCCTGCCTCCTTATTTTTTCATGCTTCATGCCATCGAAACAAGGTTATGGGTTTATAATGGAAAGCAGCTATGTTGAAAAAAACCACCTCAATTTCTTGTTATTTGATCTTTTTTTGGTAGAGATTTCAGTCATAGAAACACTTTGATGCTCATAAGGACATAAAATAATAATTAAAAAATGCCTAAAATGGCATGTACATTTTTTGTTGTTGTATAATAGAACTGGTGCTAAGTCACATTTGTGTAATATTTTTTTGCCTTGTTTTGTTTGGTAACTAAGTACCATCCTGGGACCTAGAAGAAAGTAAAAATACTGGTTTTATGTTTACTGTTGGAACAGCCTTGAATTTTTATGTCTTGTAACACATTCTAGGTTCAAATAAACCTTTTTTGTGTAGCACTTAAATTTGGAAGAGAATAATTGTACTTTTCAACTGAATGGCTTAGTAAGGGATGAAACAGAACTGAAAATATTGTTATTATTTGTTATTAATTAACATTGTTATTCTTTGCTGTGCTGTTATTTAACTGGGACAAAAATATTTTCTCATATCTTTTTTTCTGTGTCCTGTTAAGGACCTGAACTTTAAAACTGTCGTTTTAAATAGGTGATCTCGTGTTTTTCTTTGTATGTGCTGTTGATAGTGCTTTAAGAAAGCTCAAAATTCGTCAAGGTGCTTTCGTCAATTTGTTTGAATAGCTCAGGTAGAAAGCCATGCAAACTGGTAATTTCGAAAATTAGAACCAAATAAATGTATTTGTATTTATTGCAAGACTGTTTAAATGTTAACTTTTAAACAAACGCTGATAATTCCACAATGGGGGTCAAGTTTCTATCTATAGTGTGTTGCCTTGCATTAATGTTGTTGATCCTTTTTCTCATTTGTGCTGTTAGAGAAATAATACATATTCAGTTTTCAGATAGATTAAAAATAAAGTTGTTACAGTGAATAGAGTCTTGGCTCATTTATCATATTATTGGCTGGAATGTTGGACATCTACAATAATATTTTCTTTTTTTAATGTTTTTATTGATTTTAGAGAGGGGAGAAGGGAGAGCGAGAAACATCCATTGGCTGCCTCCTGCACGTCCCCTACTGGGGTTCAAGCCCGAAACCTGGGCATGTGCCCCAACCAGGAATCGAACTGGTGACCTTCTTGTGCACGGGATTATGCTCAACCAACTGAGCTACCCCGGCCAGGGCACTAAGATAATATTTTTTATGAAAACATACATCCCTAGTTTCAATATTGTTTCTATGCAACTTTTCCCTTTATGATGCTAGTTTATGGAAATTGACTCTCAGAAATCATGAAACCAGTTTTATTTTCATTTTGGATAAATTGAAATTATGATATTGGGACTCATGACTATTCTTTTTTTTTTAATTTATCTTTAGTGTTGAGAGTATTACAGGTATCCCATTTCCCACCCCCAATTGATCCCCTCCACTTCCCTCCCACCCCCTTCCCAGGCCTTCACCCCGTTATTAACTATGTCCATGG